CTCTTCTTTCAAGATCCTACTCAAGTATCATCTTCTACATGAAGACTCATCCATTTACTATAACTGCTAGTGCCTTCTCTGCCTATTTACCTTGTATTTGTTTTGTCTTTATTTTTTCTAGGTTTATAATATACATATACTTATATATGTACTTGCTGCCTCTTCTAATAGAAAGAAAGCTCCTTGGAATTAGGGATTGTTTCATTTTGAGCATTCGTATCCCAGCACCTAGAATAGCGTTTGGCAGGCTTGTTGTTGGATTGACTGAGAAAGAATTTGTCATGATCTTAAAAGATGTATAGATTATATGTTATGTGACTCCTGGTTCTCAAGGACAAAGCTGGAGACCTGAAAGTTTTCAGTGCTTTTAAAATGATCTGATCCAAGGCTGCTAGTGTGAACTCTGAAGAGTTCTGACCTGGGTTTGGGTCTGAGCGGTAGATGCTGCTGGACTCAGCTCTTTTCAACCATTTGGAAAATTCTATCAGTTCACAGTGACAGAACTGTAGGCTCCCCTTTGGTCTGGGATTCTTGCCTTGGTGATTCCTCTGCAGCCTGGGCTGAATGCTGGGACCGAGATCCCACTGTGGTCCTGGGGTCTAAGCCACAATGCTGCTGCTTGCTGCTAAACTTCCACATTCCTCAGTTCATTACCTAGGGCCTCCCTACCTGGGAATGCCACCCATTGTACAGGCCCCCTTCTCAGTCTACCCTGGATCTATGATCCATAACTGGGTAGTGCGCAACAAAGCTGCCAGTTGACACCTGTCCCCATTGTGGAAAAAGCATTATGGAAATGTGAGCTATTATCACTTGCTCGTTATTTAGGTCTTAGAAGGATATTCAGAAGAATCAGTTTTTTTCCTTTACATTCTCAAATTTTCATTTTCTGGTCGAGGTGGATAATATCAGCATCAGAACTGCCCCTCAAAAATTCCTATATGGCAAAGAATACAAGACTAATTATTCCCATTATACAAATAAGCAGAATGAGGCAGCAAGTTGTGTAAGGACATACAGCTAGTAATCGGAGTAAAGACTCAGACTACAGTAGGCCTGCTGAGTGCAAGTCTAGTGGTCTTTCCATGATATAGATATCCTACTCCCTCAGTGCTATATCCTTACAAAAGAGGCAGTCCTATGAATTGTCTGGCCCCTCAAACATTGACATCATTTTTAAATGGAATCTGTCATGTGAGATCTTTATCTTAAGACATTTAGAAAATGCCTCCAATTCAAGACAAAAAAAATCCACTTGATTCAATTCACTTAAATAATAGATGAGTAAAATGATATCTTTGGGACATCCTGAATTGAGAAAAAACCGTCATCACATTTTCAAGTCATGGAGTACCCAATGACATCCCTTCCGAAGAAAAATGTAACAATGGGATAGCGCAAATGACAAGTGCTTTATAAGCAGTACGATGAAAGAGTTCAGATTTGATGCTGCAAGAGTTCAAATGTAGGAGAGAGAAGTTCAGGCTAGAATGGTCAGGGAAAGCTTCCCAGAAGAAGTAGGTGGTCTCCACAGCTCTGCCCTGGGCCTATTTCCCTTCCCTTTCTATTCTTTCTTTCTTTTGGTGACCTCATCAGTTCCCATGAGTTTAATTGTCATTTCTATGCTAATGACTCCCATATTTATATATCCAGACTCCGCTTCTCTCCTGAGCTTCAGACCCACATCAATGAGCGACTACTGGAGATTTAAACAGATGTTCAAAGAAATCTGAAATGCAAATTTTCTGAAATTGTCTCAGAGCAAAGCAATTGTTAGTAAATTACTTTTTGGTAAAGGATAGACATCTTTCATTAGATAAGCAAAAATAGCATTGCAGCCATAATTATCCTCAAGAAGGCTTTTGATCTGAGGCATTCAAGGTGATTATAAAGAAAGGATCTATTCAAGCTTGGCACAAACCTGGGTTGATAAGAGTAAGGATTAGTGAATAAAGGTCATTGCTATTCCATAGTTCTTTTATTCTTCTCTGATTGGATAGAATGCCTTTGTAGATAGAAAGCTTTCCTCAGAGTCAAGAATACCTGCTTCTGCCTTTGACTCATACTGGCTGTTTGACTGTGGGCAAGTCACTTAAGGTCTCAGGGTCCAGATGACTCTAGTGACTTCCCTCTGCTCATTACTATTTCCAATAGGTCTTGTGTGTAGCTGGTTTGTAAACAGTTGTTTTCATGTTGTCTCCTCCATTAGACTGTGAGCTCCTTGAGAGTACGGGCTGCACTTTATATTTCTTTGTGTTCCCAATGGTTAGAATAGTACCTAGCACATAGTAGGGGATTAATATTCCTTAACTGACTGAGTGACGAGGCAACTCTCCAAGATTCCAAGTTATGTGGATACTAGACTGCATGAAGTCACAGATTAAAAAAAAGTTAACTTCCTACCAAATTCTGTTCCAAAAGGTCCCTAATCTCTCACCTTTAGTAGATGACCATTCTTCCTACTATTATGAGGCCTACCCAATGTGACCTTCCTTAATGTCCCTCCTTCTCTACCTCAAAATTTCCTTTTATCTTTGTCCATCCTGTCCTTCTTCCAATAGTCCTAATCTCTCTGGTAAGAATAAAGAAATGCTGGTACTTATTCTTAATAGAGAGGTAGGACTATGTCATGGTCCTAACACCTATTCCTATGCCCAGGACCGTAATAATTTAATATTAAATTAATAATTTTTTCTGTTGCATTTCCATCTTTCCCTCCCTAGTAATGGTTCTCCCTCTGGCAAAGACATGCCCAGGTCTCTGCTGTCCTTAACAAACATACAAAGTTTTTCCCATAACTTAGTTGATATTGCCAACTTGAACTTTACCTTCTCTCTCTCCCTTTCCCTTCCAAATTTTCATCAAGCACATTCCACTTTCTCTGTCCACCCCTGGTAATCTGGTTTCTAATTCCATCATTTTGTGAAAGCTGCTCTCTCCAAAGACACTGGTAACCTCTCACTCCCTAAATCTTACTGTCTTTTCCCAGTCTTCTTTCACTTTGACCTCTAAAGATTTTAACACTTGACTGACTCATGCATAGCAACATATCACCTGTAATATCCTTCTCTTCAGTCTCCGACTGTCAAAATCCTACAAAATCATCCTTTAAGATCCAGTTCAGATGCCACTCCCTTAATGAAATCTTCCCTGCTCCTCCTAGTCATAGCCTCTCACTCCACTGAATGTCCATGGTACCTTTTTACTCTTTTAATAACACTTGTGATATTTTATTTTGTATTATATTTTTTCGTGAACTTCTTAATCCCAGATTATAAACTCATTAACACCAGAAGTCATGCTACCTTATTCTCTGTGTATCACCAAAATTCTCAACATAGTAGCTTGTACTTAACACATTCTCAATAAACATATGTTCAACATGAAGAAATAAATTAATAATTGTTCTTGGATGCTTGCATTCCTTTAAATTTTGCTCTGTGCAACTTACTTGAAATGAAAAAAATAATCATTTGGTGCAATATTTTATACTTATTATGAAAGAAATATGATTGAATGAAAAGAATATCAGCCTCTGTGTCTCTGTTTCTGCCTCTCTTTCTGTCTCTCTGTCTCTTTCTCTCTGATTAAGGCACTCACATCAACATCATTAATAGGTAGATCTGATCAAAAGCCCTAGACCTCAGTAGTTTCTTGCTTAGAGTGTCACTGGGGCTCAGTCTACTATACAAAGATGAATGGGAAATTCTTTAAGAAGGATTGGATAATTGAACCAGTAGGAACTTCAGAAGGAAGGAATGATGGTGGTAATGGCATGAAGATATTTGGTCAGTAGATCCATTTCCCCCCACCCCATATCTGTCCTTTTTCTTTCTACTTTGTTAGGAAATCAGGAGCACAGTGACTGTCACAGAGTAAGCACTAATTAAATGCTTGTTGACTGACTGGCTGACAAACTCCTGGCTCTGACATTTAGTAGCTGTGTGACCATGAACACATCACTTTATGTTGTTTGAGCCTCAGTCTCCACAGCTGTAAAATAGGGGATAATCATACTTGAGCCACAAACCTCACAGGATTGCTGTTAAGAAAGCACTTTGTAAGTGGTAAAGAACTATATAGAAGCAAATTATTTTTGTTTTTTTGTTTGTTTGTCTTAGACCAGACCATCAATCTAGGAAGCTTCCTGTGAGGAAGTTCATCTTCTCTGCAAGTTGTAGCCTGAGGATGCTGAATTTAAGCAACTTGGGCAAGGTCACACAGTCAGAGTATGTATCTGAGGTCTTCAGGACCTCAAGGCCAACTCACAGAGGTGTCAAACATAGGGCCCACAAGTGCAGCCCTAACCAAATTAAATTGTAATTGGGAAATATTCAACAAAATAAAGAAAAATACAATAAAACAGATAACATTAATATGAAGGCAGGTAGGTGAAGAAATGAATAAGAGCACCAGGCCTGGAGTCAAAAAGATTTATCTTCAGCAGTTCAAATCTGGCCTCAGACACTTACTAGCTGTGTGACCCTGGACCAGTCACTTAACCCTGTTTGCCTCAGTTCCCTCATCTGTAAAATGAGATGGAGAAGAAAATGGCAAACCACCCTAGTATCTCTGCCAAGAAACCCCAAACAGGGTCACAAAGAGTGGGACATGACTGAACAACAACAAAAAATATTAATATGTGGTTTTCCAAGTCAATTCTCTGCCAGTAGGAATCTTTATATATGGTTCAGTGACCCCGATTTTATTTTGTTTGGTACCACTGCAAAACTTTTCCTCCCATAGTACTATTACATCATGGTATTAATTGTAATCAGAGTCTCGGAGGCTTATCACTTTGATTCCCTACTTATCTAAACCTGGTTAAAAAGCTCATTCCTCTCAACTGCACAAAGTTTCAGAGAAGAAATGTGATGTCAAGACTTCCTTTTTGAAAAAAAAATTATTAGTCCAGAAGTCCAATTTGCTATCTCATCTCCTTTTCCTGAAACTACTTTTTTTTTTTGCTTCTAATGAGAGAGACTGCCCTTTGAGTGACCTGCTTTTAATAAACTTTCCAATCAGCTCACGAGTTAAAAAGTGCCCTTGCTGGTGCTGGCTTCCTCACTTTGCCCACTTGCCTCCCTCCCTCCTTTCGTTCCCTCCTTCCATTCTCCGTTTGTCAAGGCGTAATTGAGTCCAAGGGAGGATCAGGTTCCCTTGCCTTGGAGTCCAGAAATCTTTCATAGCAAGTCCCAGCGGGCAAGGAAAACCACAGCTGGAAGGGGGGAAAGGAAGAGACAAGTGAGTGATCCTGTCCAGAAAGGAGAGAGAGCAGCTGGAGAAACAGCTTCCTCAGCAGCGGCAGCAGCAGCAGCAGCAACAGCAGCGGAGTCAGCGGGGCTGTTCCTACCCTATCTCCTGCCGCTAGAATCCTAGCAGCCAGCCTCCTCTCTCCATTGACCATCAGCCAGAGCAGGAGAGCGGAGATTCACAACTCCAAGTAAGTAGGAGCAGATCTGGAGGAATGTTGGATTTCCTCACGGTTAGTTAGGAATCATGCGTTTCTACCACCTCGCTTTTCGATTTTCTAACAGCAACCGGGGTATTTGGTGGTGTGGCTCAGCTTGGGGAGGGGGAGATGAGGGAGGTCTTGCACATGATGAGAGGAAACTGAGGCAGTCACGGCTTGTAGCGCTTGCCGGTCCACTAGTTCTCTGGGCTTCATGGATATTAGTGTAGTTTTATGGCCAGAGGCTGAGAACCAAGACGGATTATGCCTCAAGTGACCTCGTTAGTTCTCGAAAAAGGCTGGCGCTTAGCAGGTGGGTGAGAGGTGGTGGATGAAGATAAGGCAGCCAGGACATTAGAAAAGACTTTCTTTTTGCATCCCATGCCCTTGCGTCTCCCCAGTGCCACAGATGCTCCCTAGAAGTTTATCCTGACCATCCTCTCCGACCAGTTTGGGCAGGAGTTGGGGGTTCTCCATCCTCTCAGCCCTGTGATGCTGGCTACTGTTTGTTCACAGAGCAGCCGCTGCGCTTTGGCTGGAGTGAGGGCACTGAGCAAGGTCAGCGAGGACGAGAAAGATACTTTCCTCATGCATAGAGTACTGGATGGGGAGTTCGAAAATCTAGGGGTTCCACTCAGCGCTGTGACCATGGGCAACTGTTGAACCTCTCTAAGCCTCATTTTCCTCATCTGTAAAATGGGGATAACAGCATTTGCCTCTTTCTCAGGTTGTTTGTGGAAAGCCTTAGCCTGAAAATCATAGAGAAATCGTGTATAATTGGTGCTATGATGATGAAGCTTGGAAGCCACAATCTAGAAAGGATTAAGTTCCAAGCTTGGAAAAAAAAAAGATTCCCATTCCCTTTATCTCCTATTTGGATTGTAATTTTCAATGAGTTCCCCAAAGAGGCTCTCGAACTCTTGGTTCTTTCTCAAATACACGTCCTCAAAGACTGGACACTGAGACAAACTCATCATGTCCTTATGGGGGGGATGTGTGTGTGTGTGTGTGTGTGTGTGTGTGTGTGTGTGTGTGTGGAGTTGCTTTTGTTGAATAAGTCTCCAATAAGTCTAAAAGAAATAAAGAAAAAAAACCCCTAATTTTCTCCTTCTTTCATTTGCTCCCTGACCCCAAGAATTTAATACCTGTATTGTTGTTCTCTTTGAGTTAGTGACTGCTTTGAAAGTTTGGGCATACCTGGGGTGGGGGTTTGTGTTCAGGGAGGTTATGGAGGGAAATAAGAGCAGAAGATAAAGGATCTCAAAGTTCCATTGAAAGTTTTCCACCCCTTTGTTGTTGTTTCCACCCCTCACTGGTTTCTTCTTACCATATGAAAGCTGAGGGGATATGGAGATTCTGGAGATATCAAGGAGTTCCTTTGAACTAATAGGATAATGGAGCAATTCCATGATCTCAGCTAAATGTGGATTTGATGAAATGGCAGAATTCTATTTAACCACTTAACATCTTCTGGTCTTAAGGTTAATCAATATGTAGAAATATAAAAGGATGATGAGTGATGAGTCAAAAAAAGGTGAGAATTCTTATAGAAAAAGAAGCCCCTTCTTTTCATTAAAAACAACACAAAACTCGTCTTCTTTTTGTAGAACCATGTGTGCTACCATTACCAAAGTCATGACAACATGTTCAAGCCTAATGGACCCAAAGGAGAATGGGGTAGACATGGTCCCCCTATGTGCTTTGAATTTGCTTCCCTAGGATTTCAGGTTCTTTCAGAAGAGAAAGAAATACATGTAATTTTGCATTTGTTAGGGGCTTGGGGTTGTTGTTTTATTTTAGGATTCATGAATGACTCTTCAAATGTGTTTTGTTTAAAATCTCTAATAGTAATTATATCTATTTACATATAATCACACATATTTATACATGCATATACATATGCATTCAGATGCACGCACATAGATATGTATATATAAGTCCTCACAACATGTGCGTGTATGGTCTGCACACACATGTGCACACAGTATACATATATACATAAAGTAATATTTATAAATACGCATGTGTACATTTATGCATAAATGGGTATATCTATAATACACATGTGTGTATATATCAGAGGTAGAATTTGAACTCTGCCACATATGTGTATATTCATGTAGGTATACACACATGTAGATGCACACACATGCATATATGTGTATATGTGTGTACGTGCATACATGTATGTGTGTGTATATATGTGTGTATAAAGTTCAAATTCTGCCTGTTAATTAAGTACAAGTCATTTAACTTCTGTGTGCCTTAAATATATCCTTAGGATTTATCTATTAAGAGAGTTTCCTGAGTTAATGAAACTGTAGATCCTTCCTATCCACCTCTCTGAGTGTATCCATGTTTGTGTATGTATTTTGGTTTAGATTTTTTTCATTTGCATAGGGAATTCTCAGAGAGGAAAGTCTGTATGCACATGCACATTATTCACTGTTTTGCAGCTTCCGATCTTTGAGAATTGACTGGATAGATAAAGAGACTGGCCCAGGATCACACAGTTAGAATGTATCAGAAGTAGAATTAGATCCCAGTTCTTCCGGAGAGACTTTATCTCTCTGGATCCACAGCACTGACTCTCATCTATGTATTCACAGACATCCTTCCTGTACCCTCACAACCATTAGGGTTTTTTCTCATGAGATCTTATTTCTTTCGTGAGTTTTTCTCCCCATCCTTCACCTGAAATCATAATCTTACTGATTTACTCCAGTTATTTTCTGCTGAGACAAATGAATAAAAAAAAATTAGTCCATTTAGTCTCCTTAAAGTTAATGATTAGCCAAAACGGAGACTCTCTTTTATATGAACTTAAAAATTAAAAAAAAAAAACCCAAACAGCAAAAAAACCCCTTTCACCTTAAAATGGAGTTTTATGGAGCCTGAGAAGACAGAATTTTGTTGTTACTTGGAATTTTCTCTGGAATTACTGTACTTGTACTTTCTAATTTTTAAAAAGCTGCTATTGATTTGGGATAGATATTTGATTCTTCAGGTGGAATCTACTCTGCTGGCTCCCAAGAAATAGTTGAAACTTGAAAGACTTACTAGACATTTCAAGAGTTCTGTAGGGAATAATATCTAAGATGCTTTCAATAGAAGCAGTTCAGTACAATAGAAAGATACCTGGGTTTGGAGCCAGAGCTCTCTGGATCCAATCTTGCTTCTTTTGCTTAAAATCTGGGTGATCTTGGACAAGACACACTTTCTGGCTCTCAGTTTTCTTAATTGTAAGATGAGAGGGTTATACTAAATGATCTCTAAGATCCCCTCCAGATCTAAATCTATCTTCTTATTACCACAATCTTCCTCAAGAAAATCAACCTCAGATATAGATTTTATTCAGGGGCAATTTTTTTTTCTCAGTAACTGAACATGCATGAAACATACACTCTCTTAAATTGGGACCACATCCCTATTGAGAAACGGAACCTACATTATTCCCAAGGGTTTTTCAGAGGAGACAATGGAAGGAAAGACAATTAAATTAACTTTTTAAAAGTCATACAGACTCAAAGGCAGGACCTGGGACAGACTTAGAATCCTAATTTCTAGGGACCTACATACCTTACTCTTATAATAAGTTGATACAGACCCTAAAGAATTAGTGTTGGCCTACTCCCTTTGTTCTGAGGACCATCTTTATCTCAGGGCTCACCTGACAGTTAACCTTTTCTTTCGTTATTGAAGGTTAAACTGGTTCTATTTCCAGGCAAAGCGAACTCTTATGAGTACCTGAATGAGAATTCCCCTGGAACCACCGTCTCCATCTGGGCAGTGGCTTTAGAGGCCTCCTGTTTTCCTAGTTGACTTTTGTTCCTACGTACTTGACCATGAAGCCAAATGGAGATCAACTGTAATAGTAAAAAAATCTCTCTCCTTTGACGGCTATCCCAATGAATCAATCAACAGAAGGTCTGTAGTCTCCAGGTGGGTAGCAGGTCACTGCACACATCCCTGGGTAATAAGAAGGTTCTGAAATGGGCCAATCTAACTCTTTACTCTGGCAGTACAATGCTTTTCCATCTGGAGCTGATTAGTTTGCAAAGAATTTGGGCTGTGACCTCACCTTTTGGAGACCATTCAGCATTCTTGATGTTTCTGGCAGACTCAGGCTTTACCTACAGGCTTATTTTCCACCCATTCAATACCATTGTTGTATATGGCAGATTTTCCATAGATCATGTCACTGTTCTGAGGTGGTAAAATCTGATGGCAAAAAATTTGTTGTTTTTGATATTTAATTAGCTCAAGCATAAAACTGCTAGGGACTTAAATTTAAGTGGTCATTAGATATAATCAGTACACTGTGATACTGTGCATTTTATTGTGTATGTATGGTATCATGGTAGAGTGGCAAGCATCTTGGATTTGAAATCAAACAACTTGGGTTTGAGTCTCAGCTCTGTCTTATATTACTTATGTGACCATCAGCAGTCACTTAAACTCTCTAGGTCTCCATTTCATCTTAATAAAATGAAGGAGTCAGACTAAATGATCTCTACTTCTTCTCAACTTTTAAATCTAAATCCTTTGACCGATCATGCAATAAGGCCTGACCCGTCATTGATTCTTAACCTCATGAGGACAGGCAAAGAATGTAGCAAGCAAACCGAGCTTAATTTCGGAAGAAGCAGGTGTAATTAGGTTACGATTAGCTTCACATTTCATTTTGGCATGGTTTGAGAAATAATGAGGTTGCAGTTGTCTCCACTAGACTTCACTGTAAAAGCTATCTCTTAATAGGTAAGCCTGTTTAGCATTTAGCTAAAGAGAGATCTTAATCATGAATTTCCTAAAAATGGGATTCCTAGAACCACTGGTTTCCCATCCAGAAAGCATTCCATTGTTGAATTACACCAACCCCCAAGGAAATGAGTCAGGACAAATAGAATTCTTATCTATCTTCCAGAAATGTGTCTGAGTAAAAACCCTAATGTACACAGAGAAAATATCATAATGCAACATATTAACATCAA